TGCTGTAGCAGTTACCGCATCTGCATCACTCACACAAAAACACTGCCGTTTTGCATAGCATCATGAGATGGGATGCTTTCTCCTGTGCCTTTCACATGCTTCTCGGTGACACGAAAGGTATGGACTGAGAGTCCTGGAAAAAAAAAATTGAAGAACCTCAGCTTGCTTTGAGTCACATGCTTTGTTACTTAGAAAAGGCTCAGCTTCCTAAGGGCCTGAGTACCAGTTCTAATTCCCTCCTCCCTGTGTCTGTTAACATAAATCACACAGCTCCAAACTTCTCAGCTTTCGTAAATGGCAGGCCTGATTCATGCATGATTTATCAATTATAGCTGTGGGCCATTAAGATAGATTTCTCAGCTTCAGGTAGACTGCAGTGGGGCTGTATAGTGTTGGTTTAGAATTTCTTAAGAAGCTCAGTAGTTGACAACCCAAACAATACAACTTCCGTTTGCCCTTGTGGAAAGCTTTTGAGTTTTAAGTGGGATTTTTTTTTCTTATAATTTCTTCTCCTTTTGAGCTTTGCCTTGGAAGGTGGGGGTTTATTTCTAAGCAAGAGTAGTCAGGAGTTCTCAAAGCCACACTCTCTGAAAAGAGCATATCTAGCTGCTGCAGACGAGTGGGTAGCAATTCCTCGTGACAGTCCAGCAGAAGAAACAACTTGCAACGTCACCTGTTGCCCCTCATTATTAATGGGAAGACCATGACACTTTGCAGATTCTGGACTTTGGAGATGCCTTTCATTCTTGCCAGTGAGGAAGCCTCTATCTCCAAGCATGCTGCCCTCGAAGGAGGAAGAGATTTTATGGCTCTGTCACCTCTGGACAGCGTCCCTGTAGAACCTCTCCCAGGACAGGCTAGGATCTGATGGCTAGTGCCAAAAAGCAAAAGCTAATTACTGTTTCTGTGTAATGTGTGAGAGTATGCAGTGGTTCACAAATGAGGTTCACAAATAAATCGATACGGGCAATGGCAGGGCTGCATAGAATAACATGGTTCAACACATGATATTTGGGCTTTAAGAAAGAGGAATATGTTCTTGGAATTTGTAAGGTTGGTCTTCAGAAGACCCCTTGGAAATCATGAGGAGAAATGGCTTCCTTTTCTAAGATTTGAATAAAGCATGAAGATACAAGGTCTGGTTACCCATCCCAGTGCCATTTTCTTTATGTGGTTCGTGGTCACATGCACACAGCTCAAGTGTTGTCCAAGAGGTCCCTTCTTCCACTGTGCCATGAGACTACATATTGCCGTCAGATCCAGTGTTCCACTACACAGTAATGGCCTTAGCCTTCTCCTCCCCAGTCTCGGTCAATTCTAATTTAAAAGGAGGAAGTACTTCTGAGCTGGACACATGTTTAGTTATTTTGGATTTTTAGCCTTTTTCTTCTTCAAATTAAAAGAAATAATTTTAGATAATTAGAAAGTTCTGCAGTCTGGGGAGTAGGTAGGCCAGGCCAATCTGCCTGACCATAAGCAATTACTAGACCAGACCCTTAGGAAATCCTGTTTGTGATGACTTGTATGGGCTGTCACAGAGACAGAAACCTGTCACACTTCCTTCCTCTCCGTCCTATTTGTATTCCCATGAAAAGCCCAAATTCTTGTTATAAACCAGGTTGGCCACTAGCTAGTAGTTAAGCAAGTAGTGAGAGTCATTCAGAGTGGAGCGTTCCTGACAGATGCCATGCTGCTCCTGGCCTGGGGGTACTGAGTGCGTTAGACCCCAGAAGCAGCCAATTTGATAGTGTCTTTTAATTCAGAATATTGTATTAATGTCAACATGGATCCAGATGGATGCTCTGCAATAAATGAACCACTGGAGAAAAGGCTTTATTGACTCTCAAGTAAATAATGCACATTTTAAAGGATCTAAATATGCATTTACATAATGTACTATAATTTTTTATTGTGTCAACTATTCTCACACACACACACACACACACACACACACACACACACACAAATTTGGACTCATAGCACTCTGTGCATTCCATTAGCATCATGTCAGCTTCATCATGGTAGTTTCTCTTCGACACAGCTTGCTCTAGCCATCTCAAAGAACATTTAATTAATTAATTGATTGATTTAGCTCTAGTGACTCCTTCTAAAATGATTTGAGACAGCTTAGATAAAAATTCAGGTACACTTAGAACATCAAACCCAAGATAAAAGGGAAGGAAAAAAGAAGTAGAGAGGAGAAAAGAGAAAAAGACATTGATTAAATCTTAGCTATGGACTTTTAACAGGCCTCAGTGTCCAGTAGAAGATGAGGATTACCCAGAGAAACACCAGGGATCCAATAGTAATCAACAGATCTTTGTGACATCTATCACAGGTTTCTTTCTGAGGAAATTAAAGGTCACTGTCTAGAAACATCTGCTTCCATCTCTGTCCCCAGAAAGAGAAAAGAGGCTTGAAGAGGACAGCCCTGTAAATGCAGACTCAGCAGATGTCTGATTTAGAACTTCAGGCCAGATGATTTCCTGGAATTAATTAAGAATTAATTGATCCTAATCAATCAGTCATTATATAGAATTAATTCCATACAGTACCATATATTCTTAGGTTTGCACTGAAATCTGCACCATAAGGAAAAATGAATAAATTGCTATTGCTAAAATGTAATAAAGAAATTAAAGTCTAAATTTACTGCTAATGATTTCCTTTTACATCTTTAATAAAATAAGTTCAATGATGTTTATTAACAATTCACAGAGAGAGTGAATGGCAGTGGTGCTTTATTTCTTTAACTTTTATCTACTTACTCTTTGCTCAAGCTAGTGGTTTACCTTGGGGAGCATACTCTTGCTGTGTATCCCCATTCCTTATCTAAAACACTCATCACTTTCCATGAGAACCTGAGGCAATACCTCTTTATCATCAAGGTCAGTCTCACTGGGATCTTGACAATGGAGTTGCCACCTTTCTATTTGACATGCTGCAACAGTTGAGTCTATACTTTTGTTCAGTTTAATACATTCCTATCTTCTTTTCAGAAATAACATCTACAATGCTAACTAGAAACAATTCTGTCAAAAACAGGACTCTGGTCAACATTTCTTGTTACCAGTAGAGACAACTACATCATGCTAGAAGAAAACAAAATCGTTTCATTCTATACATCCAGAAACACAATTTCCAGGGGAAGAGCAGTCCAGGAGCATTCAACTCTTTAGCTCTTGAGTTTTCACTCCAAGATAATAATGGATTCCAAGATTTGTATTTCATTGTATTCAGTCTTAACTCATAACCATTTTCCTCCATGCTTCTTGATTTTCGTCAGGGTACAAAACTGTATTTTGTCCTTGGCGAGTTTTATGGCTATTTGGTCTTATTTTGTTTATACTTCTTTATTTAGCCAGTTAGTGGGCAACCAGCAAATATTTCTCAAGTGCCACACTGAGTTCTGAGTGTATGATGGTGAGTGACTAAGTGGATAGGAAAACTACCTACCAAGACAGAAGCAAACAGAAGAGCAAGTGGGAGAGGGGGAGTGTAGAAAATTCTGATTTCAATAGGTTATGTTTGTGATGTCCTCAGCTGTATGATTAGGGGCAAAACATTTTCTGATTTAACCCATCTTTTTCTCTTGAAACCATTTGTATCGAATGGATTTACATGGCCTGAAAATAATGATTCTACCTGATTATCTTCAAGCCTGGGTTGGTGTCCTGCTTCTACTCCAGCCTGCATTTCTACTCTAGAAACTACAAGGGTTGCTCTGACCCACATAGCCTTATCCCTTTAAATTATTATTTAAAATATACCTTAATCCTCAGGAGACCCCAGTATCAGAAGGCAGGGATCCTTAGCCGTACCAGTGGGACGTACCAGTGGGACGGTAGGAGAAAGGGGGAGCCTACTGAACTTTGGATTCTCTTCAATATTATGAATTGTGCTTGGTATTCAGAAAGTCATATTCTCTAAAACTGTAGGCACTTCTGTGTTTCTCTTTGTAGGAGCCCCTTCAGTTTAAAGACTTAAACTGCAAAAGGAAGGGGTGGGGCAGGCATATGTATCCCCTATCTGGAGTCTTCTCTGGTCTGCTTGGACTTAGTCTAAGTGTTATCAGCCCCCTCACATGAAGCCCTTCTCCTCTGCCAGGTCTTGGCCATCATCATCTCCCCAATTCAAGGACAAAAGCATTCCTGGAAAACTTATTAAGATCTCACATAAGCTTTTGTATCTAATGTAATCTTGAACAAATGATATCTATCAGGGTTCAAATATAAAGGAGTTGTTGTCTGAAAACTCTTCTCAGATTTATGGCAGAGAAGCAACCTTTTACGGAGTTCCTGCCTACTCAGCCTGTAGCTGCTTTAGCTTTGAAAGGGCAACAGAGAAAAATGCAACATAAACCTTCCACTGTGAAGTGAGGCACCCAAATTGCATGGGTTCATTAAGTGATCATTTACTACAGACTTCAAAAAACTCTAGTCCTGAATTAGTCCCTAGAAATTTCCTTGAAAGGAGTGTAAGAGCTTTAACAATGAATTATTATCTATGGGTAGCTCGGCATGAAAGGGGATCCATATGTGCAAAGTAGAATTTGTCAAATGTAATGTCGGTTAAATCAGGTCTAATCTACCAAATACATTTTTTATTGCTTGCTTCATTAAAAAGGCTCTTAAGGTAATGAATAATCTTCATCTTCAACAAGGATTATTAATGCCTTTATAACTCACGTCCACTGAACATAGAGAGGCAACTTGAAATTCTATCCTACTCTAACCTCCATGTTTGTCTTAGAGCCTTAAAGGAGAAAATCCATCAGAACTGTCCTTGCTACATCCTGTCACATGGACAACATTGTGAATTGGGCTAGGGAGAGAGAGACAGACGAGGAGAAGAAGAGAGAGCAAGAGGAGAGAGAGAGAGAGAGAGAGAGAGAGAGAGAGAGAGAGAGAGAGAGAGAGAGAGACTGAGTTTGGTTCAGCTGTGGCAAAGCAGGGTTCTCCATAACCCTGATGTGTTTTGTTTTGTTCTGTTTCCTGCAGCAAGTCCACACGCAACGCCATCGACTCTCCACTTTCCAACATCACCCATCATCCAGCAACCTGGGCCTTACTTCTCACACCCAGCCATCCGCTACCACCCTCAGGAGACGCTGAAAGAGTTTGTCCAGCTTGTCTGCCCTGATGCCGGTCAGCAAGCTGGACAGGTGGGCTTCCTCAATGTAAGGAAACCTTTTCTTCCCCCCTTATTTCTCTAGAAATGCTAACCAAATGTAAAAATAACAATAAGACCCTTTGTGACCATATGATTTTGTATTCTAATGTGATGCTGGCTGACTACAGGCAAACGTCATATTTATTCTAGATTATGGGAAAGTTAACTTGCTGTAAGAGTGATTGGCCAGGGTTTAAAAACAGTGTTTGTGTTAAGTTTGCAACTGTCAAGCTTATGGATATAAATTGTCTGGAGAATGAACCATGTAACCTTCTGAGTTCCACCTCCTCCATTCTAACCCTGGGATCATACAGTTAACAAAATAGAAAGACTGAATAATTTTAAGTAATGATTTGGGATAATAGAGAGAGGTGGGGAGCAGAGGGGGACAGATGTTTCAGATCAACCAAGCTGATTTTTTTAAATACAGTCTTCTAACACTTTAGATCAAGTTGACCAGTACTTGAACTCAAGATGCTAGAAGCAGAGTTTATTATGGTTTGTTATTTCTTTGAGCAGTTATCTTTTCCACTTATCTTCGTATAAAACTAAGCCATATTCAATAACTACAAATGAATGTTTTCATTTTTCTCAAATAAACTAAATAATCACAATGTGGAGTAACATTCTAATAGTAAAGTTATTTTATAAAATCGCAAATTTTATTACAAATAAAAAGCTATATGTTTACAATGAATAGCTATATCCCAAGGCCAATTGCAATAATAATAATAAATTAAGACCAGCAGAAAGCCATATTTGATTTCCTTTTCTCATTATATCTATGTCTGAAACCACAGTTTAGCCATAATTCTTATTGCCTGGCTCAGGATGTTATGTCAAACTGCTCTGTCGTTAGACATTCTCCCCTGCAGAAAGACCTGATTCTGCAGGTCTGAGCCAGAATGGGCAGCTTTGACTAATGTCTGGTGATCTGTTCACAGATACATTTCTGTCTAGACAACAAATCGATATGGTGTCTTTTTTTCTTCATTTTTCTTGTGTATTCATCTGCTTGACTTATTCTAAAATATTCACTTATGGACTTTTGGTCCACACAGAAATTATACACAGGCAAGGATGCTGGTGAGGGTGTGCAGCCTTCTGACCACCAGCCAGTATCTGAGGAAAAGTACTAAAAATACCACAAATGCTGATGAAGGAGTGAGCCTGCCTCTGCAGAAGTATTAAGTTTATTCCTAAAAGCCCAGGACAATGGGATCTCCTTTGGCTGAACTTTGGTTTGGGGCTGTTGTCTACATATAGGCTATTGTTCATTATGAAAAGCCACTCGAGAAATCATGAAAACCTGACTGAACTGATCACTGGCACCAAGTCTGACTTCTGAACATCCAACGTGATCTTTTTAATAGTCATGACATCATCTTATATAACTGTCAAATGCCCTGTTTTGTGTTTTGATCAAAATTTTATAGGGTTTGAGACAAGTCTCTCTCCATAAGGTTTTTCTGAAGACCTTGAAAATAAATGCTACAAAACCACAGAGGATCTCAAAGATGAAATACTACAAGTGTCTCATTAAAAATATTCGTATTAAAAAAAAAAGAATGCAGGCTGGCATTTAAATGAATTTTGATGCATGCCTTAATGTGTAATGCAAAATCCACATAAAATAAACTGATAACCAAAAAAATAAAAAATAAATGTTGCATGTTCTCTTCTGATGGAAACTTAATTTTGTTAGAAAGCTGTTCTTTGGCTCTTCTAGCATCAGGCAACCAGAAGTCTGAGTCCCTTGGCATTTGCTGTGATAAGTCAAATTAGAAGTGGTATTTTTGCCTACTAGAAATCTGATAGCTAAATATTAAAGTTTCCATGCCTGATGCTGTATGATAGTAAAAGAAAATGTCTATGTTCATTGAATATACTTATTAACTTTCTTATAAGATCAACTTTAAGAAATGAAAACAAAGTATAGTTTTATATGTCTTACATATTTAGTGATCATTGATTGATCTATATAAATACACATGGAGGAATAATACCTCAGTCCAATACGCATGTAGGTATTAAACAAGCATTTTATAATCATAAAAATGTTTGTGGAAGCAGCAGCTAATACAGCACTGAGCAAGAGTTGGTTATTAATGGACAGACAAGTCCAGAGTGATCCTGGATGTGACACTATGGGGAACAAATGATCAGTGTGCTTCCAGCAGCCTGAATATTAGTGATTTGCATGACAGGCACCTAATGAATCTTTGTTTTGCAGAAGCAACTATTGGCTGACATCTGTTTATTCTTTTTCTTGTATGTGTTTTCTCTGAACCCTTATAGCCCAATGGAAGCAGTCAAGGCAAGGTGCACAACCCATTCCTCCCTACCCCAATGTTGCCGCCACCACCGCCACCACCAATGGCCAGGCCTGTGCCTCTGCCCATGCCAGACACCAAGCCCCCAACCACATCAACAGAAGGAGGTGCAGCCTCCCCCACCTCACCAAGTAAGTATGACTGAGACAGGCGCCGGTTACTTGCCATGCTCTGTGCACCTGAGTTCACAACTAAACCTTATCCCTTGCTGTGCAAGCTTTAGCAATAGGCACAGACCCTACCCTTATATCTACAGCATGAACTGGCAGAGCCCAGACCCAAGTCACAGTGAATACCACTCCCATGTACTTTCAAACTATACCAGATATGGAAATGATTGGGTGTAGATGGTAGATTAAGATGCTGTAACTACATGCTGAGGACCAAGAACAAAAGACAAACTCTTAAATTTTGTGTATTCCTGGAGTGATTTGCATAGAATGCTATCCCCATGATGTTCTAGGACCATCTGTTTAGTTAGAGTCAGAAGGGCCTGATTAAAAAAAGTCAGAGCCAGAAGCCACAGGAGCTGCATGAGGGGGCTTGGGAAGAGAAGGAAATAGAGAGTAGGGCTGAATGGAAAGGGAGAACCTTTTGACTTTTCTCTCAACAGTCTGGGAGTATTTAATCATAAAATAGAAGATTCTGAAATCCATTTAAACGATGGGAATGATTGTTTGATGAATTCAACAGTGAGCAATTCTCCAGGTATTTCTTGGTATTTTAGAGACGGAGGGGCTATGAAAGGTGTGAACACACACATATGGCCTTTATTCATGGCTGCAAGAATGGCAGAAAGGGTGATGACTGGAGTTTCCAGGTGACCTGGTATCTTAGCCTTGAAAGGTGGTGTGATGGGCCCTTCCTTAGTCCTGTAGAGAGGACGAAAGTGTAGGAACTGGAGCAGTAGCAGTGCCCCTAGGGAGAGCCTAGGGGTGGTGGTGGTGGTTGTGCCTCTGAAGGAAGTGGAAATGAGAAAAATATGTAAGAGCAGTCGGGAAGAGAAGTATTAAAGCCAGTAACTTAAAAAGCAGTAATAGCAGTTGAATGAAAGGGAATAGGTGGAGAGGTGTTTTGTAACTATAAATAAGCATTTAAATGAGAAGGCCTCTTGGCTTCCTTACATTCAATATTGTAATTAATGGTATTGGATACAGGAGAGAAGGAGCCAAAGAGGAAAGATACTCCTCTGCTTAGATCACAGTCACTGAAATTGGTTCTGGAGCCAGTGAATCTAAAGTGACTTGCATCTCTCTTGGACATAGATCAGAGAGTGAACTTTGTATTATTTAGTATTTATGTGAGTATTATCTAGTATTTATTTGGGTAAGTAGATAGCAGTGTGTATAAATTCTTTAGCAGAAAGACTGAGGATCCAGAGGCAAGTTGGGGAGACAGACCTATTTGGTAAGAGATGGTTCAGTCCAGCACTATTGGCAAAGGAGAGACCCAGTATCCATTGACTTGGGAAGAAAACTGTTTAGCTGTAAGCTGTTGGCACATCTCAGAAGCAAGCTGGGAAGAGTCAAAAACTAGTATTACTAATGAATGAAAAGTTAAGGGAAAATTATGCTTTTTTTTTTAAAGTCACGTGCTTTCTTAGAAACTGAAATTGCAGGATGGTTTGATCTGTTTATCTTTAGCAGCTTACTAGAGCTCAGCTGCAACAGGGGGAGGCCTCAGGCAGGCTGTGCAGCAGCAGGAGGTATCAGGCAGGGTGTTAAATACAATGTTCAGCATCCCAATAGTGTGTCCAAACTGTTTCAAAGAATGGCAGCAGACACGTTTCTGTTTAGGGGTTTGGGATTGCTTGCAATAAAATAAGATATTTTTTTCCAATTAAAAAAAATAAAACAGGAAGTCAAGCCAAAGGTCTCCCCTATTACCAACTTTTGGGAGGCCTCAAGTCCCTTTTGAATGGAATAGCATTAACTCCTCTGCCCACTCACAGCAGGTTATTGGGAGGGAGTGGGATAATAGGCAAGCTATGCGACAGACAAAAGGCCAAAGCAACATTTTTAATTTCATCTAATAATGAAGTACAAATGGATGCCAGCCTAGAGCAGAGTATGTGCCGCCTCTGGCACTAATACTAAACTTTTCAGCGTGGCCAAAAAAATGTGGGCAAGGCAGATCTGGAAAAAATGCCTATAAAATAAATATATTTTAATGGGAAAAATCTGTTCCCATCCCCGGAGAAATCAGGGAAGTGAGAGTGAGGAGAAAGTTGTGCTCTTTCCTTGAAAGGAACTTCCACGTTTTTGCATGTGTACAGAACCATTGGTTATATATACTGTGTGCGACTGTTTAGAACATGACAGACAGGATCCTTGAGGTGTGAGAGCAGTTCACACAATGTGTTCCACTCTCACTGACAAGCTGGTGATGTGGGTATCCATCCCCACTGAAAGAAAACCTCTCATGTTATTGAGCATCAGCTGTGTGCAAAAAAAAAAAAAAAAAAAAAAAAAAACCTTCTAAGTACTAGGCGCTAGCACCTAGAACCAGGGATAAAGATAAAAGTTCCAAAGAGGAAGAGACAGAACAAACAACACAGTAAATACGAAAGACGGGTGATGTAAGACAGTGATCCATCCCTACGTGTGCAAATCCATGAAGCATCTATGAACAAGGAGCAGTAGGGGTAGGACAGCATGCAAGTGGGGAGCAAGACCTACCAGCCCTTTGACTTTGCCATCAGAGAAAGGCCCTGATGGGGTGGGACCCAATGACTGGTAGGTAAAAGGACCAGCCAAAGCAGCCTGGCATGAGTGAGGAAGGTGAGGTCAATGAGAAAGAGAAGATTGGAGACAAAGTTGGAGAGGTAATAAGAAGTAGGGCCTTGGGATCAGGAAGCTGGTAGGCCAGGGTTAGGACTTGGACATTTCCTGCAAGGAAGACTGTGAGCAGAGGTATGCCTCCTAAAGCCCAGATGTGAGAAAATCATGGAGGGCTTTGTTGAAATAGGTTGCCAGGGGAAGACTAAAAGGACATGGGGGATGTAATGAGTGACTTTTACATGCCAGCCCCCATTCCAGACAGTACCAAGGTAAATGAAACAGATAAGAACTTTCATCCTGGTGGGAGTGGAAATCCAAAACAACAAAAGCTAGGGACAACTGAAAGCTAGGGACCAATAGATAAAATTGAGAAAGCAGGACTGGGCAGAGTATGGTGGGGGTGCTATGGCAGTCATTCAGATGAGAGAGTTGTCCGTGCACTAACCTAGGGATCAGGGTCAGTAGAGGCTGTGAGAAGCTCTTGGACTCCAAGAATATTCTAAAGATGGAGATAATAAGCTTTGCAGAGGCATCTGATGAGGGCTGAGGAGAGAAATCAGAAATAACCTGTAGGTTGTTTGGCCTGGACTCCTGAAAGGCTGAAGACCGTGAGACAATAGGAGAAGCCATTCTGAGTGAGGGCCATGGTTGGGTCCATTAGACCTCTCAGTGCTCAGGCTAAGCAAAACTTGCTGCCAATGGCAGGTTACAGAGTTTTTCAGGATGCATCATCTTCTTCCTTTTGTTTTTTGTTTGTTTGTTTTCCAGTCCTGGAACTTGAACTATATATAAGGCTGGCCTCAAACTCACAGAGATCCACTTGCCTCTGCCTCCTGAGTGCTGGGATGAAGGTGTGTGCCATCTGGCTCCTCATTTTCATAATAAAGGACTTCTTTCCAAACATACAATATAACATAAGAGGTTTATAATAGGCTACATGTGGTGGTGCATGCCTTTAATCCTAGCACTGCAGAAAAAGAGACAGGTGGATCCAGGCAGCCAGAACTACATAATGAGATTCCCCTCCCCATTAAAAGAGAGAGAAAGACAGAGTTTTCTATGAGTCCTGAGGGCTATAGCTCCTCATACCATAGGTTAGGACTAGCTCATACCACAAAAATGGAATTTTCCATATTTTTTCTGAAGTAAAGATTGGCATCATAACATGGAATTAGAATGTAAAGGAGAAAACACTTTTAAATTATGGTAGGAGATAAAATATGCATACTCTCTTTTGTTAATTAATTAAAAATCAATTTAAGGTGCATAAAAAATCTCATAAACATTTTTCTCCTCTATTTCTTCTTAGTTATGAACTTTTGATTTTTTAAACTAAAATTCTATTAAATTCTATAGAAGCATGTAATAGCAAGTTACATTTATTGTTTATTTTTATGTCTCAAATGAATCTTGTATCGGTTTCATTCCGTAAATGAATATGCACTATAAAGGAGAGCATAACAATTATCTACCACCAGAACAGAAATGTTTAAGCCTCACAGTTAGCATGTGTTCAATGCCTTTTGATGAACAGAGCTCTTTACCTATGTGTATTATCTTCCTACCACGCCTTTGAGGTATTCATTTTAAAGACAGGGCAACTGAAATGAGAAAATGAAGGTTACCTTGCCCAGTACGATGTTCTGAAGGTGGGATGGTGGGACTGCCATGCTCTCTCTCCTAACTCAGACTATAACTGAATGGCTGTCCTAGTTATGGTTTCTATTGCTGTGATAGGACACCACGAACCAAAGCAACTTGGGGAAGAAGGGGTTTATTTCAGCTAACAGTTCTACATCATAGTTCATGGTAGAAGGAAGTCAGGGCAGGAAGGTAAGGCAGGAACCCAGAGGTAAGGACTCAAGCAGAGACCATGCAAGAACACAGTTTACTGATTTACTCCTCATGGTTTGACCAGCCTGCTTTCTTATTAACTCTGGACTATTTGCCCAGAGGCAGTATCATGCACAATGGGCTGGGCCCTCTTACATTAATCATTAATCAAAGAAATGCCCAATAGCCTTGCCAGAAGGCCAGTCTGGGGGATGGCCTCTCAGTGGAGGTTCCCTCTTCCCAGATGACCAAGACAGCTTAGGAAAAGGCACTTGAGAGGGATGCCACAGACAGCTGGGCTCTCACCAGGGTGCAGGCACTTCATGATTCCCTTTACTTGTGGTACCTCATTTCCCCCTCACATTAGCTCATGAAGGAAAGCTTCTTGGTAAACTGATTGAGAAAGAGAAGACAAAAATGGAGAGAGAAGGTAACTTTTTGAAGGCCATGTAGCCAAGTGTTATAGAAACATGATATCTGCTGATCCACATTGAAACTAGAGTCCTTGTGTTTTGTGT